GGTGGGGAAAAAGCGATACTGGGAGAGGATAAGGTGGCATCGGCAGCTGAGTTGGGCCAGAAGAAGATGGGCCATCTCGGCCCAGATGCGCAGCAGGCCCCCAAGATGGACCTCCTCACTCAGTCCACTCAAGATGACGAGGCCCAAGCTTCCATAGGAGACCAGCCCACCCTGGTGCAGCAGGCCGACTGCGAGGAGCAACACCAGGCCATGGTCCAGACTCAGCCCATCCACGGAGGAGAAGGTGAATGTGAAAAGGTCATCTTATCTCCTCTGTTCTCGCAGCTGCAACCACCGATCATCCTGCAGGCGCCGCTCGAGCTAGCGCCGCCCGGCGTGGCCAAGACGAAGGGGTGCGGACGCAAGGTGATGCAGATGCCGTCGCGGTGGAGCGGCCATAAGGCGCGCTTCTCATCGGTGCCGGTGTCCAAGCGCGCAGAAGTGCGCCTCATGGAGGAGATGGGGCTGCTCACCCCGGGTGAACCGGTCGGGGATGCGGCGGTAGGGGCTTATGCAAAGTCCTTTGACACACCGCCTCCGTCGCATGTCATCGCCGGTCTGCGGGCGCTCACACGCATGGATGGAGTGCACGACATGCCGGTGCCAGGAGAGGAAGGAACCACCGCAACGATGGTGGTCTGAGGCGCGCGCTGTCGCGGCCTGAGAGAAGTCATCAGCTGTCATGATTGTCCGCATCAGTGTTAGAGCTGCAGGAATGGTCTTCCATCATCATCTGCATGTATCCTTTACATTTCTCTGCGGCCTTAAGCCGCTGCTCGCTGTATGGTCGATGCGACTAGCGCTCCCATGCTGCAACGGCCTTAAGCCGGAGCTCCTTAGTCGATTGATGCGAATAGCGCTCCCGGTAGGCACCAGCCTTCAGCCGGTTAGTAGCAGAGTAGACAGGCTAGAAGATAATGAAATTGCTTCTACATGGCCATGTTTGGATTGTAGTTGTAGGTCATGGAAGAAAATATGTAGCCCTCTATCTGCTTATGAACTAATTCATTTGGAAAACATTATGGGGTCGATCCTTTTGGAAAAAATTGTGTGTTATACTTCGCCCAAATGTTACAACATCTGAGAATTCTCAATTGGAATGTTCGCGGACTAAATAACCCAGCACGAAGAGAGGCAGTCCTCGAAGCAGCCGAGCTGGCCAGAGCAGGCATCCTGTGCTTGCAAGAAACAAAATTAAGTTGTATAGACCAATGGATCGGCAAAGAGATCGGGGGAAGCAAGCTGTCGAACTTCAATTTCCTTCCTGCCAATGGAACTTGTGGAGGAATTGCCATCTTCTAGGATGACACAATTGTTAACATGGTGAATTTCTCCCAAGGAACACACCATCTTTCAGCGATGGCAACGACCATAACTGATAATCTCAGCTTCATCATCACAGTAGTTTATGGACCCTCAGAAGACTGTGACAAGGAAAATTTCCTCGCCGAATTAGTCGCAGCCAAGCCACCAACAGACACGCCATGGTTGGTCATGGGAGACTTCAACATCATATATGAGGCTAGGGATAAGAATAACCAGAATTTGAACAGGCGTCTTATGGGGCGCTTCAGGGCAACCTTAAAAACATTGGAGCTAAAAGACATTAGATTGCAAAACAGGTAGTTCACTTGGAGTAATGAGCAGGGAAACCCGATTCTAAGCAAATTAGATAGGATTCTGAGCAATAGTGAGGGAGATATTCTTTTCTCTGGGCATTCCTTGCTAGCACTATCCACATCCTGCTTTGAACTGGCGTCTAATGGGGCGCTTCAAGGCAACCTTAAATACATTGGAGCTAAAAGACATTAGATTGCAAAACAGGCAGTTCACTCGGAGTAATGAGCAAGGAAACCCGATTCTAAGCAAATTAGATAGGATTCTGAGCAATAGTGAGGGAGATATTCTTTTCTATGGGCATTCCTTGCTAGCACTATCCACATCCTGCTCAGACCACTGCCAGTTGCTGCTAGCACCAATGCAAGAACCAAAGAGGAAACCGAGGTTCCGATTTGAAAATTTCTGGATTATAGTGGAAGGTTTCCTAGGCGTCGTAACCCAGGCTTGGAACGAGCCTATCCAGGAAGGTCACCCCACTTGGCGGCTAAGTCAAAAGCTCAGAAACAACGAAGCGGCCTTGAGGAAATGGAGCAAGCAAAAGTTTGGGCAATCAAAATTACAATTCATTATGGTACAAGAACTTATCTACAGGCTGGATGTAGCCCTGGAAACAAGAACTCTGACAGCAAAGGAACACCAATTCAGGAAAGACCTCAAGATAAGAATTCTAGGGCTAGCAGGGGTGGAAAAGGCGAGGAAGAAGCAAGCATCTAGGGTAAAATGGCTAAAAGAAGGTGATGCTAACACAAGGTTCTTCCACATAAAGATGAATGCTCGAAGGAGAAAAAATTTCATCCATTGCTTGCAGCAAGATGGAAATACCCTGCACACACATGAGGACAAAGCAGCTCACCTTCATGCCCACTTCAACTCAATCTTAGGGACAAGAAGACAGTGTGGCTGCACATTAAATTGGGAAGCATTAGGACTAAGTACAATACAAGATGATAGCATGGATGAGCCGTTCACAGAGGATGAAATCTGGGAAGCAATTAAAAACTCTCCAAAGGAAAAAGCGTCGGGCCTAGATGGTTTCACTGGCGCTTTCTACAATAGTTGCTGGCACATAATAAAAAAGAAAATTGTGGATGTTTTTGCAAGCTTTCACAACCTCACAGGGGGGAACTTTGGAAGCATAAACAGGGCCATGATAACACTGTTGCCGAAGAAAGACTCGCCACGCTCGGTGAATGATTTCAGACCCATTAGTCTGATCCACTCTGTGGCGAAGCTTATATCCAAAACTTTGGCAATGAGACTGGCAGCATGGCTTGGTGATTTGGTCTCGCATGCCCAAAGTGCTTTCATCAAGAAGAGATGCATACAAGATTTACTTCCTCTATGTGCGCAACATGATCCGGTCCTTGCACATGCAACGGAAACCATCCCTCTTCTTCAAGTTGGATATAACAAAGGCATTTGATTCGATATCTTGGGAATACCTTGTCGAAATGCTGCAGTGGAGAGGCTTTAGTCAGCGCTGGAGAAATTGGATTGTGCTTCTCCTATCGACTGCATCATCTAGAATCTTACTCAATGGGATAGTGGGAGAACCAACTACACACAGGTGAGGCCTTTGGCAGGGTGATCCCCTCTCGCCCTACCTCTTCATCCTAGCAATTGACCCGATTCAACGACTACTCAATGAGGCCACGCAAGAGGGGCTTCTATCTCCGTTATCAAACCGAGCAGCGCGGTTCAGAATATCCTTATATGCTGATGATGCAGCGATCTTTATAAACCCGATCAAAAATGATGTCAACAACTTGATTAGCATCCTCAAGTTCTTCGGCGAGGCCACAGGCCTTCAAGTGAACCTGCACAAGAGCTCGGTCATGCCCATCAAATGCGTAGAGCAGAACCTGTCCGAGGTGTTGGAAAATTTCAATGGACAGCGGGGCAATTTTCCCATAACATATTTGGGATTGCTGCTCACCCCAGGTCGCATCAAGAGAATACACTTGCAACCGGTGATGGACAAGTTGCAATCAAGGTTAGTGGGATGGAAAGGGAAGTTAATCCAGCAATCAGGGCGGAAGACGCTAGTCACGTCTGTTCTCAGCTCCATACCAACCTACTTCCTTACTGCCTTAAAGCCGCCTAAACAGTTCCTCACAGACATGGACAAGATTAGGAAGAAATTCCTCTGGGCCGGCGATCAAGAGATTAGCGGGGGGAAGTGCAAAGTGAATTGGAAAAAAAGTATGCTCCCCAATAAAGATGGGAGGACTAGGCTTGTTGGACCTTGATAAATTCGCGAGAGCTTTGAGACTCCGTTGGCTATGGTTTGAGTGGGAGTGCCCTGACAAACCTTGGGCTAGGACGACACCCCCCTGTGATGAGTTAGATGAGCAAATTTTCGCGGCCGCAACAAAGGTAACAATCTGTAATGGGTGGAAGGCAAAATTTTGGACATCCAACTGGATTGGCCACCAGCCGCTGAAATACCTAGCGCCAGCGCTTTTCAACCACTCTAAAGGAAAGCAATGCTTGGTTCAGGATGCGTTAACCAATGACAAATGGATTGATGATATTAGGCATGAGTTGTCCATGCCACTGATCTGAGAATTCTTCGCAGTATTCCGCCTTATCTGGGATAATGAGACAAACCTGGAGGAAGGAGTTGATGGACAAATACCGGAACTTGGAGACGGCGCAACATTTATTCAAGGATTGTCCATTCAGGCGAGAAATTTGGGACAAAGTAACGGCTAGGATGAACCACAATCAACCCTTCCCGGTGCACAACCCGGACAAGAGACTAGTGGGAATCAAGAATAAAGCAACAAAGCAAATGTCAAAGTAAGGGGATGCAATCACTGCACATGCTCTTGAGTTGGGAGATCTGGTGCGAGAGGAACAGGCGAGTTTTTAAAGATAAAGAACTTCAAATCCCTCAACTAACGGCAAGAATAATGGACAAAATACACACATGGTCGGCATGTGGGGCAAAAAATCTTATGAGAATAGCGCCTTAACCTCTCACCCTTTGTTGTAATTTTCCTTTTTTCTGCTCTTCTCCCCCCTGTCTTTCCCCTTGTCACCATTGATGGCATTTGTACAGTGCTTATCTCCTGAAATATAAAACTAGCTAAGCTGGCTAAGGTTTCAAAAGAAAGAATTAACAGTGCTTGCTAGTTTGTATTTCAGATGATACTCCACTCGCATATGAAGCGCCCGCGTGCCCTCAAGCCGATCAAATTCAGTGTCGACGAGGAGATAGATTGCCGAGTGATAGTCAGCTCTCCCCGTGAGCTAGAGCTACACTACACATGTACTTCTCCCAAGTCCAGCCTACAGGCTGGTACGTAGAGCGATCTATTGAAAGTTCTGCATATTTTTTATTAGTTCATTGCTGGCTATTCCTTAACGCCTGTCTGTAAACCCTTAATCATATTTGATTTGGTTATGCACTCTAAATCTATGGTGGTTACTGATTGTACATAACCGTTATACACCTTAATAGAAACCATTAGTTCTTGAAAACACACAAGAAAGCCATGCTCATCATTAATTTACTACATCCGACATAAGCAAGCAGTTCAATAACACAGGAAGTGTATAGTTTATTTTTCAGCTGGTTAGACTGAGTTCTGGCAGATTCAGGCTGAGAAGATCATTATCCTCAATCAGTTGCTCTCAGTTGCATCCAGGCTCCATAGTGTCCTTAGGAATCTGCAAGAACCGTTCAATTTGTCAATGTATAAAGTTGCTTGGAGATCATTATGTTTCACGATTGATCAAAATGTTCCAGGTGCCCATAATGTAAAGCAGTACATGATGGGTTTACAGGAATTTAATTCGTAAGTTCATAAAAGGTAACACTTGAAACTACTGTACTGAAGAACTCGTCCATGGACCAAACGAGTAGCCAAAGACGAGGCACAGAGCAGCTTACCACAACCAAGAACGTAGCCCTGTAGGTTGGCCTCCTGCAGGTTGGGCTGCAGTGGCTGAAGCTTTGTACTACTCATGAAGCTGAGGTGAAAGCTGCAGTGCTGTCATGGAAGACTCGGCATCCTGACAGTACATCTGGCTGCTGCACACATCCCACAATGGAAATGGCTTTGGATTGACCATCGAAGCTGCCTGGGTCTGCTCACCAATCAGGTTCTTTTGACAAGCACAAACAAGTTACTCGATAGAGAATCCGTGACATAATTTCACTTGAGGATAAATCCTTGTGCCGAGTTGGAATTGGCACAGATAATTGCTCGTCTCCTGGAATTGGCATCTCCTTTTGGAATGGAGAGAGAGAGATCATAACTTGGTAGTTTAAACTAGTGTAGTAAGGTAGGATAGTACAATACTGAACAAGTGTATCCTTTTGTTAGGTCGTACCCGGTTGCACATCTCAAGAAGCTGCTGATAACGTAGCTGTTGCTGCTACAAATCAGGGTTTTAGCAATGAGCAATTATGAATGCAGAGTATTCTCAAATAACAGAACATACAGTTACTGCGTCAAGTTATTTAATTTTTACCTTCCTTAGACGAACTTTGTACAGAGAGAACTCAATCTTCTGCTCAAAATTACTCAAATCTGCGGAGATCTCGAGGAATCCTATATGTGGATGTATCAATTTCCAAAATCTCAAGCGGAAGATGAATAGTCTAGCTTTTAAGCTGAGAAGTTTCAACTTTCGACGCTTCTGGCAGTTCCAGATTGCATCTACTTAACAATCATGAGAAACAAAAACTGCTGATTGGTCAATGTGGTCACCAATATAGGCTGCAACTTGATGATGCACATGATCCTTGAAAAATGCCACAACAGTTACACATTTGCGGCTTTACCCATAAAAATAGCATTGTCCAACACAGTACAGCCCATCTATTGACTGTCAAAATTAATAGTAGATTTAATTTCAATAAGCTTGCCACATGACAAGTTCATCAGTGTATCAAGTCAACAAAAAGGAAAAATGGCACCCCCATGCATATTAACTTACAGTAGTATTCAAATGGATATTAACTTACAGCTTCTTTTCAAGCTTTTTTTGTTATCTCACTGGCCGCAAGCTCCTTTTTCTTCTCATAATCCTTCTTAGACAGACCCTGCCATGATTATCAGGACTGAATAAGTATGTTGGTACAGAAGGCCTTGGTCTCTCATAATTCAAAGTAAAATTAGATGGCAGCTAGAACACATCCATACCTCTCAATCTTCTATCCCTGCAGTTGTAAAAATATGAAGTATACAATGTTCTTCAGGATACTTACAAATATGCTTCCACAAGGCTTCTCCAAATTAGCTCAGTCATCCTGCCAATTGCACTCAGAGTCTTAGAGTTAAGTTATTTTAGACTCAAAGCTGTACTCAACTTTGCCATTTTCCAAAATAATATTGGTCACATTAGCCTTGAATATTTCACTAATTTCCCTGAAGTGGCTATCGCACTAGACCTGCTGTTTTGCCCATAGGATAGCAGAAGTTTAAATAAACAAACTAAAGGCAAACAAATATGGAGCAACCTAACCTTCCTATTCGCCCTTCAGTTCTCCAATCAAAATTTTACATATAAATTGCATAAAACAAGAAGAATAATACACAACTATAATATCCATAAACAAGAAAACTTAACGGAAGAATAATATACAACTAAAAATTCCACAGACTTCACGGAAGAATCTCAGCCCTCAAAAACTCCCTTCTATTCTATACAATGTTCAAGCAAAACTCTCTCAACTGACCATCCTAAATGAAAGGGGCAAGCTTCCCAATGAACAGTAGACACCAGACAGCTTCTCTGATATTTTCCTTGCACAAATCAACAGAAGCATTGTTAACCTTCGGAGCATAGCCACACACCTTTATTTTGCAGTTATCTCATCAAGCTTCAGAAGGATCCTTTCATTTCCAAAATTTTTTCACCTCCAACTGCAAACTGATGAACACTGCCATTCAGCTCCATCCAACTGCAACCTTTCTTCTTCCACGTCCCCTGGACTTCCATTACTCCCCTTACCTCCTTAACATCATTCCAGTTTCCATATTCTGCATATATATTTGATAAGAGCACTTGTGCTCCACCATGATTAGGGTCCAACTCCAAAATTTTCTTTGCAGCAAACGTGCCGAGCTCAAGATCACCATGCATCCGGCATGCTGCTAACAAAGATCCCCAAATGACCACATTTGGTCTTAAGTGCATGGACTGTATCAGGTCAGCAGCTTGTCCAAGAAGTTTTGCTCTTCCCAAAAGATCCACCATACAACCGTAGTGCTCATGCATGGGCTCAATCCTGTATTGCTGGACCATAATTTTGAACAATAAACGGCCTTCTTCAACTAAACCAGCATGACAGCAAGCATAGAGCAACCCAAGAAATGTCACTCCATTGGGTTGAATCCCTTCACTTTTCATGTTCTCAAAAAGGGTTAAGGCGGATCTTCCATCACCATGCATAGCAGATGCAGTAATTATGCTTGTCCAGGTGACAACATTCTTTTGAGGCATTGCATTGAAGACATCCAAGGCAAGAGTTAAACTCCCACATTTGGAGAACATATCAATAAGAGCATTTCCGATGGGTAATATCTTACACATGCTATGATTCTCCACGAAGGAATGGATACATCTAGCTTTTTCAAGGGCACCAACATTAGCACATGCAGATATTACACTCAGCATGGTAATTTCATCAGGTTTGACACCACTCCGTTGCATATCATGGAACAAATTCAGCGCTTCCATAGGTTTGCTGCTTTCAGCATATCCTGCTATCATAGCACTCCAAGATACCACGTCCTTCGCTGGCATTCCATTGAATATGGAGTGAGCAATCTCAACTTTTCCATTCTTGGCGTATCCATACACCATGGTGGTTGATAATACAATTTCCTTTTCTGACACCCTATTGTACAGCTTTTCAGCCATTTCCATGTCTGCACAACTAGCATACATGTTCATGAGAGCACAGCTGACTTGAGCATCAATAAGAGTATCTGACACCAACATGTATGAGTGGATAGCCTTTCCAAATCTCAAGTTTCTTGTATGAGCACAAGTTGAAAGGACAGTAGCAATAATCACTTGATCAGGAACAACTCTTGATCTCTTCATGCTATGAAAAAGCAACAGGGCTTCTTCATAGTTTCGGGCCTGACAATAACTGACAGGGTAATGTTAGAGAGGTTTATCATAACTATAGTGAAAAGTCCAATTAACATATTATACAGAAGTATAAAAAATAACAGTAGAAAAAATATTAGCACAAAACAAATGTATATATGTAAAATGGTTTGCAAAATACTTCAGAGTTGAGCTGGATTAGAAAGAAATGTTTCTCCACGTGCCCCTTGAATTTCAGCACGTAACACAGAGATCTAGAGGAACCCACATATAAATGTATGTCAAAAATCTCAAGTAGAACATGAACAGTGATGTTTTAAAAACGAGAAGTTCCAACCTTCTAGGCTTCTACTGGTTCCCCATGTCTACTCAAAATTTACAAGTTGCATTGCTGCAAGCTGAGTAATTTCATAGGTCGAGGTGATTTCAGTTTATATATTTTTCCCCACAAAATAAATCAGTATATATTTTAAGTTCCACATTATTTCTGACTATGCCAAGACTGATTCTGTTCCAATCAGGATTTGGAAATTTCACTCCTGCTCGGTGATGATAAGATTGAGTATATGGTTCCGATGGCCTTAGGACATACTAGTTGGACTCACTCTGACATACAGCCATGCAAAACGTTCTCCGATGTACCATGCATTGAACTCTCAACTAAGCACAAGCAACTGAATAAACCATTTTGCAGGCAGCCAGGCATACACAGAACATGATACTTACGAGATAGATCAAACAACTAGGATTCCATAGGATTGCGTGAAGAAATGGAGCTGTTCACAGTGCGTTACCAGTCAAGCATGACGCCCCAGGCGACGAGGTCCCGGTCAGGCATCCCATCGAACACCCTGCGTGCGTCCTCCACACGCCCGCACGCCGCGTAGGCCCGGACCAGCGCGGTCCCGACGAAGCCATCGACCTCTGCCCCGACCCTAAACGCGAGACCGTGCGCGGCCCCTGCGGTGCCAAGGGAGCGCGCGAACGCGATGGCACGGAGCAGGGATGGGAGCGCGCGGCGTCCTGGCGCGGGCAGGCCCACGCGGCGGAGGCAAGCGAAGGCCGCGAGTGCGAGACGCGGCGCGGCGGCCGCGCGGATTACGGAGATGTAGGCGCGGTCGAGGTCAGGGTCGGGGTGAGCCGCCGGCGGGAAGGGGTGGCCGCGGCGGAGGAAGTGGGCGTGGAGCTCTCCGAGTTGGCGGGAAAGGCGCTCTCGAGGCTGCATTGGGGCTTGGCCTGCGTGGGTAGCCAACGGGTTGAGTGGTTGTATGGTCTAGTCGAGCGGTCTGAGCAGAGGCAGACCCAGGATTTAAAAGTTGTGTATTCAAAATGTGAAGGGTGGAAAAAACTTTTTATAGCAAAAGACTAATATTCGACATGTATAATAATCACATCGTTGTAAACCACTAATTATATACTCCATCCGTTTCACAATGTAAGTCATTCTAGCATTTTCCATATTCATATTGATGTTAATGAATCTAGACATATATATCTATCTAGATACATTAACATTAATATGAATGTGGGAAATGCTAGAATGACTTGCATTGTGAAACGGAGGAAGTATTATATAGCAGATATAACATAAAATTGAGCATGATTTCAGATATTCATAGAATTGATCATAAATCTGACATTGTTATTGACAACTGTTCAACAGTGGTAACATATGAAATATATAGAAGATAGAATATGACAAATGATAAGAAATCTTACAATGTAGAGGACAACTTTCCGATGCTTGTTCAACATATCATTGGAAGAAGGATCCAGATTGGCCTGATCCCGAGTTTCATTTTGAGTCTTTTTCTTTGCGGCAACTGTTTCAAAATAAACACTTCAAATCAATAGCAGGACCTTCTTTCTTTTCATATTTCAGACCTGAAATTTCAACAATATGGGATTGATGTATCTGGATTCCTGACCAATTGAAAGCCGCCCTAAATTTCAACAATGTGGGATAAATGTATCTAAATCTATTGATTCTGACTAAAAAATGTAAATCACAGCACATAAAGAATTGGGGACGTGGAACAAACCTGAGACAAACAGTGAGAGCCTGAACCAACGAGACACCGAAACAGACAGACAGTGAGGGCGCTAGGCGCAAGCCTGTGGCACCACCGACGCACCGCCGCTCGCCGCCCGCCCACACTGGGGCTGGTGGTTGCTGGCCCAGCCACAGCCAGGTGCCCAGGCCTGGCCACGCGGGTGACGCTCGCCCAGGGGCGGCCCCAGGATTTTCAGGTTGGGTATGCGAAACGTGAAGGAGTAATTATATAGTACTAAACTACAAATTGTATAACATGAATTGGGTATAATTTCATATATTTATATAATTGATTTAACTACTAATTGCCAATTGTTCAACAAATAGAAATTACTCAACTAGTATTTGATAATTGTTCAACACATAAGAGTGGCAATATGTGAAATATATAGAGGATTGAAAATTGTGCAGTGTTTGAGGCAGGGGACTCATGAATTGCTGATTTAGAATTCATGAACAATTGTTCAAGAGCAAGACCATTCTTTCTCTTCATATTTAGACCTAAAAATCCAACAATATGGGAATGGGATTAATGCCTCTGGATTCTTATGGAAGAAGAATCATGCAACGCAATGGTAGTGTGCCGAACGCCATTGCCAATCAGTGATACGGTAGCTCTGCTGCATAAATTGATTTACTTTCTGTAGGACAGGGGAATAATAGACTTAAGTACACATGCCAAGAATTATCATTGCTGAGAGGAGTTGCAACTGTACTTAGATCTGAGTAGCATCATACGCAAGTAAATGCATGCAGAACTTGCAGATCGAGGGAACAGTGCTACCGGATGAATCGCAGGATCAACCAGCATTCAACACTACACAGACAGATAGATAGAGATTAAAGCTTACTGTTGTGGCTCGATGACGGCGGATGAGTGCTCGACCCATCGGCGCTCCAGGGGAAACCACTTGAGCACCCTCCCGTCCGACACGCCCGTGTACGGGCCGTCGCCGTCGCCGTCGCCGTCGAACGCCACGCTCTCCGGCCCAACCGCGCCGCTGGAGTCCACGGTGATCAGCACGTCGTCGCTCCGGGACCGGGAGTCCAGGGACAAGAACAACGCCGCCGCCACCGCCACGGCGGCCGCGAGCACCACGAGGCTGGCGTCGGCGCGTCAGCGCACAGCGCACTGCCCTGCCGCCGCCGCCTGCTGCCCGCCTCGCCCCCGCGTCGCGAATCGCCAGCCGCCGTTTGGGGAGGGGGAAGGGGAAGAATCGAAGAAAGGAGCTGGAATGGGCTGAGAGAGAGGAGAGGGGGAGCCGGGGAGGGGAATAGGAAATTTGGGACCAGAAGGGTGAAGAAAGGCCCAAATGAGAAGTTTGTTTACCTATTGGGCTGTTTAAGGCTTTCTTTTTATATTTTTAATACTCCCTCCGTTTCAAAATATTTGACACCGTTGATTTTTTAGCACATGTTTGACTGTTCGTCTTATTCAAAAACTTTTGTGAAATATGTAAAATTATATGCCTACATGAAAATATATTTAACAATGAATCAAATGACAGGAAAAGAATTAATAATTACTTAATTTTTTTAATAAGACGAACGGTCAAACATGTGCTAAAAAGTCAACGGCATCAAACATTTCGAAATGGAGGGAGTACATACTAGCAAAATAGCCGTGATTTACTACGGTGTACTAAAACTAAAAATATTTCTTTTTAACCAAAGTTATTTTCACACTGCTTTGGTACTTTTAGCTTGCTAGAAAAAGTCTCAAATGACAGAGAGAAATATAGTAGCTCATATTAAATTATTTTTCACAAATAATTTCGAAGAAAGGGAGATAAAAAAAAAGACAAAGCCGGCTTGATTTCCACCTTTACACGGTGCAAGTCAATATGGACTCTGAAGATATGGGTAGATCTACTGGGTGGAATTAATTTTATTAAATTCTCCATAATTAAATACAATCTTTGAAATTTTATTGGAATTTGCATAAGCTAATTTTGAACATCATTTCAATCTTCCTTTCTCTCTAGGCCATTTTCAGTACATTTTATTCTTTAGCCCATAGCTGAGCCGACCCACTTTCCTCCCTTCTTCTCTCCTCCACCTCAACCCGCACATTTGTCTGCGCCAGCAAGAAGTCTAGCCTCCCCCTACTTCTCCTCTCACTGCCATTAAGCGTGCGGCCCGACGTGACCGATCTGAGCCGTTCGTTTTGATGTACGGCTCAGATCGGCTCTTAATCCATCAAAACCCCGAACCAAACAAACCCTAACCCTAATTTCCTTTTCCCCTTCATTCCCTCACCGCAGGCCGCCTCTCTCGGTCTCTCCCCACCGCCGCCTCTCCACGCCTCTCCCTCATCGGCGTCGTCTTCCCGCGCCCCTCCCCCACCGGCGCCTCTCCCCCACCGGCGCCACCTACGCGCCCCTCCCCGATCGGCGCCGCCTTCCCGCGCCCCTCCCCCACCAGCGCCGCCTTCCCGTGCCCCTCCCCCACCGGCACGCCGCCTCCGTGGCCCTTCCCCGATCGGCGACGCCTTCCCGCCCCCCCCCCCGACGCGCCCCTCCCCCGCCGGCGGCGCCACTCCTCCTCATCGGGGTGCCGCCGCCGCCCCGGCAGCTCTCTCCACATGGATCCGACGGCGGGGAAGGTGGTGGAGGCGTCCGCCGGCGGTAGCGACCCTCTCCCGCAAGGATCGGGTGGCGGGGAGGGTGGTTGTAACGCCCCGATTTTCGTTCGGGATTAAAAATCATTAAATAATGCATTTTCTAGAAATTAAATAAAAGTTAAATCAATTTAATCAAGTGAAATAACGGGAGAATTAAAATTTTCCCTTATAAATCATTGGCCGGGAATATTTTGTAATATTCTTTGTGACCTAAAATACTCTCCAGATTTTTCCGCGAATTTTCGGAACTCAAGAAATAATTTTAGAAGTCACAAAGTTCATTTAATCAATTAAATAAATTGAAAACCAAAGTTAAATCTCCCCTTCCTCCTTGGGCCATTTTCGGCCCAAGATATTTTCCCCCTCCTTGGCCCGCTCGCCCCTCTCTCCTTCCCTCCTCCCTCTCGGGCCGACCCCTCCCTTCTCGGCCCGATCGACTTTCCCTCGCGCAAAGTTGTCACGCCCGGAATTTCTATCCAAAATTCCAAACGCTTACATGTGTGTTAAACCCTCGTCCAGGAATCAGCCAAGGCACACAATAACAAATTGATAATAGAGTACAAATAAATAACTATTTAATATTCGCAAATAATAAATTATTACAGAGGTGGATAGTTCCTCTCAAAGAATACATTCTACGCAGCGGAAAATAAAATAAACTAAAGCAAACTACGGAACAGCTATGGCAACTCCACTCCACAGGCATCTCAACCCGGAACAAGCCTAATCCTCCAGATCATCACCTTCACTGAAGTACTCCTCCTCTGATGAATGAATATTGCAAGAATGAGCATATGACATACTCAACAAGCCACACAGCAAATATGCAAGTGCACAGGATAACAAAGGATGGCATAAAATAGCTCATTTGCATAAACAGCATTTAATAAATATTTAAGAGAATAGTAAAACAGTTGAATAATTAATCAGTATTAAATAAACACCATATAACACACCCGTGTTGCATAGGCCCAACCTCATCTGAACAACCAACCCCGGTTGTACAAATCAAACCTCCATACCAGGAATATACCATTCCAAACCAGGAGCCACATTAATTAACACAATTACCATTAATGAATAGTGTGAGACTAATCACGAAAAATATTGTTCAACTCACCCATAACCGCGGGCACGGCTATTCGAATAGTTTTACTCTGATCAGAGGTGTACCACTGTACCCACAAGACACAATCCCACAACATGTCACCATGCGCCTCAGTACCACCACGGTACCTTAGAAAGGAACTGTGACAATACCCCTCGCACAACACAACTCACCACAGTGCACCGTTCCTGATCATAATCTCCCCCTCAAAACCAGAGGCAATGGACTCCCCAGCGACCCCCACGGACTTCTCGCCGCTTCACAGTCTGGCACACTATAATGAATCATGCTATACAAAAGATAAAGCCGTTGCCCATGCTGGCTTATGGTTGGCACGGTAAATGTTTCACAACAGTAGCTCGCGAACTAGTCCTTAATTGTCATGAGCACAACCATCAAAACCACATGCTCACAACCCACCTTTAACCAGGTTTTAATTATCAATTAATTAACATCACACGATTAACCATCGTGAGCTACCATTAATTATAACCATAATTAATAATAATAATATAATATAATATATCTTTAATCCCCTTTAGTTAGCTAATATTTCTAAGCATGGTTAAGCAAATCGTACATATAGCATTTGGCTGAACCAATCCAATATATAAGGTTCATGCTAATCAAATTATAGCCCTTAGGAAAATTAAGTCATCTTCGGCCATTAATAATTCGGGAAAAGGTTCACCACCCAATGACATTTGAAAATAATGCATAAGTTGAAATAAAACAATAGCTTTAAACGAGTTCAACATGCTCAAAGGGTTGTTTGGGATCTGTGTGACTTGCCTTGGGCTTCCACAAAAACCTCTGAACCTTCCTCAACTGAAACGCTCTCCTCCGGAACATCAGAAACTAAAGCAAACAAACAAAAATCAACAAAACAGTACAAAAACAAGCATAAACAGTACATGTGGATATTTTTAACATGTAGATCTCGATTTTAGAAAAATTTAGCAACTTGAACCACTTGAATCGGAGCTATGGTTAATTAGTTATGATTTTCCGAAGTTTTAATATATTTAATCTATTAAAAAAAACTGAAAAAGAGGGGATTATGACGTCATGATGACGTCATCGACGGCAGCCACGGCACGGGCAACGACCTCGCCGGCGCTAGGGTGGTCGGCCGGGGTTTTGGAGGACACCTACACGTACAGGACGACGACGCGAACCCAATGGTGCTTACCGAAGCGACAAACGGCGACCGACGACGGCCGGCGACAAGAGGCGCGGCGGCGGCGGCTCGGACTTACGGCGGCGGCGGGCTACGGCGCACGGCGACGACGGGGAAGTGGCGGCCGGGCTTCCTCACTCCCGTGCGCACCTAATGGCGGCGACGGAGGGCGACGGCGACGGCGGATGCGGCGGCGCGGCGCGGCTGGCGGTTGGCCGGCGGCGGCGGCGAGGCTACGGAGCACGAGAGAACTCGGGGAAGGGGGCAAACGAAAGAGGACGACTAGGGGGTCCTATTTATAGCCTTGGATTGAAGAGATCGGACTCCTACCGCGTGGAATTGGCCCGAGAAAATCTAAATTCGGTTTTTGGGGATAAATTTGAAACGAACTCGATTCGGTTGAAATACCCAACGGTTTGCTCCGATTGTTGAGGGGATAGATAGAGGAGGATGAGGGGATTAAAACCCCTCAATCAATCGGACTCGGGGTGGCCGGATTTGAGGCGGAAACGGCGGAGGAAGGCGGCGGCTCGGGCGACTCGGCATGGCAGCCGGCCGGCTGGAGGAGGAAGATGGGTCCGACATGTGGGCCCCACATGTCGGTGACCCGAGGAGGAGGGGCGGGCGGCGTCGGCTTGGGCCGACTGGGCCGGCTCGGCCGCGCGGGAAAAGGGGAAAGTTGGGCCGAAATCGGCCCAACAACTTAGGGAAGGATTTTTGGAACTTTTTCAATTAAAATAATTCGTGAAATGTTGTTTCATTTATTAAAAATACTTCCCTTGCTCAAATAATTCCCAGAAAAATCTAAAAAATAGAGGAACAAGCAAAGTATTTGATGAAATTTTATATAGCTCAATTTTATGTTGAAAATTTCCCTAGATTATTAGAGTTTAACTTGAAGGCTTTTAAAATAATTTCTAACAATGATTTAAAATATGCATTTTTA